TCCTATGAACGAGTGAGGGTAGGTGCCCTCTGAAGGTGGATCTGGTAGCCACGACTAACAAGAAGTCAAGATCCACCGCGAGGTACCCCGGATCCCATACTTCCGAGCTCGGATCCAAGGAGGGAGGATCCCGCATAGAGTGACCTGGATCCAGGGTACAGGGATGATGGATGCAGTGGATCTCGAACTTTCGTGGGACAATGGAGATCACAGACGGTTGCGAGACGATGTTGGATGATTGGAGAGCTCAGATCCACGACGAGTGTGCACTTACAGTGAAGTGGATCCAAGCGACCTGGATCCGGATGAGTGTACCCATAATAGGGTGACCATAATGATTACGCCATGGATCCGGTGGATCTGAAGATAATACAGCTGGGATGATGGGTCAAGGGAAGAAGGGACATGCAGCCGAGCCTGGTAAGGGATTTATCAGGTGAAAGACATAGAAAGTAGAAATCCAGGCAGGTATAGGCTTAAATATCAATACAGTCTTCAATTTGCACAAAACACGCAAGTGCCTTCCTGCCCTCAAGAACCGAAACTACATTGGCCGTACGAGCTCGGAGAAGGTTAGGAATTGCAAATCTAGTGCTGGTAGTGATAACTGGATAATACATTGGCCAGATCCTACAACCTAGTGAACTTTTCCTATATACGTGCAGATCCGACAGGCTAACCGAATTTACTACTTGGTCGGCTACACCCTAGAAGGTCTCAACTCTCAAAATCCCGTCACAGGAGGCGGCAAGTTTGACGCAAAGTAACTACAAAGGCAAGAGAACTCACCCGCAAGGCAACCCTACGGCCACATCCACGATCTAGGCCCCGGATCCATAAGCTCGAATATTCGCTTAGGATTCGGAACCATCCACGGACGCAGAGTGGAGGTTTTCCACTGCTGCTCCATCCCATCCCCACGTCTCGCCAAGACACTCAAGCTTCACCACTTGAACGCTTTAAAAGTTACCGAGAGAGCAAGATCCCGCCCTACCGACGGGTACACAAGGTGAGGAAAGTTCAGCAGAACACGGATCATCGGGGGACCCCCTCCGTTAGTCGGTGTCTGGGTGCAGTTGGTAAGCTGGATCCGGCAATCTCGCAGATTTTGCTGATCCCGCTACACCACAATGGTGCGCGTGCCCGGGTCTTTTGGTGACTCGGGATTTCACCGTGAGTCCCAAGAAGATGCTCAAGTGAAGATTGAGCCACGGGAAGAGGCGTCGTCGGAGGTCGGATCGACGAAGACGCTGCTGAATGAAACAAGATCCGCGGATCGATGGAGTTTTGGGAGGAACTCTGTCGACGGAAGAGAGGTGGATCCGGATCCGGATCTAGAAGAGAACATCTCTATCCTCTTTAGGTCCCCTCGGGGACCCCTGCGGATCTTGACGCAAGTCAAGATCCGCTAACAAAACAAGGGAAAGTGAAGGCAAAACGGTATGCATTTGCAGATTCACCGGTTAAGCCAACACCGTACCTAAACCCAAGCCCGCTAGTCGAAGAAACGAGAAAGAAGACGAAAACGAGTAAGACTACGCGGAAGAAGATGCAAGCTCCAGAGTCGGAAGAAGACCAAGCTGGATCCAGGTCAAGCTGGTCCGACAAGGATCTCGAGTTTGTGTATCGCCACCAAGCTTTGCGCGACTTCCTGCATCAATATCCTGTCATGCAGATCCTGAATCCACGACAGATCGACGATCCAAGGGAACCAGTGAGAACACCAACGAAAACAGCGAACAAGTTGGTGGCAGTCAAAGATCTATTACGTTTGCTTACGGAGTCAGGCATCGTAGCTGGTGTGTTCGACGCAGAGGATATCTTCGAGCTAGACCTGGATCTCATAGTATCCGCGACGCGAAACCTCTTTGCCAGAGTCAAGTCCATCACCGGAGAAAGGTCGTGCACTATGGATCCAGTGTCGTCGCCGAGGATCAGCCAAGCGGCATCCTCGAACTACGAATCCGCCGCTGAGGATGAGTCCGACACGTCGTCCGAACCACGACGCATGACTTTAGGACCCTCCGGGGCATCCATGCTGGAAGCGCGGGCGAGGATCCGGGGACAGGAAGTCCCCGTGAACGTGAAGGTTCGGGATCCAGTACGCCCTACCCGTGATCTGATACAATCCAGCCAGAATCGAGCCAGATCCGGCAAGAAGCCGGTGGGGTGGTCGTCAGATCGGACTCAAGGTAATCGCCTCACTAATCCTGTCTCGCCAGTGGACCAGCCGGGCCACAGGCTCTTCCGACACCTCCTCGGGCACCCTGCAGCGACACTTCGAAGCTGCGATGAGTCGTTTCCTGGCCGAACAGGGTATGAGAACGCCCGTACCACAAGCGCAAGTGCTCCACGAACATGGAGCACGAGACGTGGAGATGGAGTCAGTGGAGGGAGACAACTCCCATGATGAGTTCGACCCAGATGATCTGGATGGCCCATCCACTTCGTCAGCCGTGGTAGCAACAGCCACAGCCGGGGCAGGTGGATCGTTTATGATCCAGAGGGTACGGGTGTGG